CTAATGTATTAGTGTGTTACTACATTCGAGGCAGTGTTATACACATGCTATACAGATAATTCATTTAATCCTTACAATAACGTTTGAGGTAGGGACTATTGTTTTCCTCATTTTACAGATAGTAAGGCAGGGTGGGGTGGTTAAGAACTTGCCCACTTTGAAGCTAGGGTTCAAACCTGAGGTTTGGCTCCAGAGTCTGCACCTTGCTATAATGAATGAACGGGTGAACGAATGAACAATCTTGTTGATTACAGAGGTATCCTCGGTATACTATGGCATCACAGAGGAAGGGCTCCTAATAGTAGAATTAGGGGTTGGGGAGGTCAGGGGAGGCCTCCTGGAGGAAGTGATACCTGAGCTGAATTTTGAATAATAAGTAAGAGATGGGGCAGGGCAAGGGGCACTTCTGTAGGCACAAAGAGAAGCAAAGACCCAGAGGTGGCAAGGAACTGCCAGAAGCTGCAGGAAATCCCAACAGCTGGGGATGTTGGAGCATCAAGTTGAGGCAGGAGACAGGGCTGAAGAGACAGCTGTACTGAGGCACAGACCAAGTGTTTCTAGGCTCAAAGGAAGAGAAACTGCGGAAAATGGAAACATCTTTGTGCAGGAGGTGGCAGGGCTTGGAGGACAGCGAAAACTGCAGCTGGTAGATTGAACTGAGAAAAGCATTCCAGGCAGGGGAAAAAGCATGGAGGTGGAAGAGTGGGAGAGAAATATTTAGGGAAGCATTTGATTTGGCAGGATGGGAGAAGCATTTGTCATGCATTGACTGCTGAGACACCAGCAAAGCCCAGACACAGAATTCCGCCTGGCAGAGGAATGGCTAGAGTTCTGTCTGTGAGCCAGTTTTCAGTTCCAGCTGTGCAATCCTGGGTAAGTCACTTCTGACTCTCAGTTTCCACATCTGTAAAATGGAGGGAATAATCAACTACCTAAGAAGCCTGCTCGGCGGTTTAACAAGAACATGCGTGGAAGGTCTTCCAACACCAAGGTATTCGGTCATGTCCCACAGCCCTCGTACTGACATCAGAATCACCAGAGGAACTTTTAGAAAACATAACCTGCCACACGCCACATCTACAGAGTCAGGGTTGGGGGGGGCGTGGAGACACATCCTTTTTCTTCCGGCTCTTGTTGTCTGCTATTTCCACACATGGTTCTGATGCTCTATTAACTTAAGACCTGCCAGCTTCTGACAGCTGAAAAGAAGAAAATGCAGCAAGAAAAATAGAGATCCTGGAGGCTCACGGAGATACATAGGATCTGAAGCGTTTTCTGGTCAGGGCTTGACAGCTATAATGAAGGACAGAAAATGAAAGGCCTGTCTCAAAACATGGAAAATGAGCAAAGCAGCTGAAGGGACGAATAGTGTCTTCTGACCTCTACTCGAGAGCTCTTCGAGAAAAGAGATCTTCAACAGATCACCCGCAGCTGCAGTATGGCTGTTCAGGTAAGTCAGTTAAAATCACACCACGGCCAGACACGGTGGCTCACACCTGTAATCCCAGTACTTTGGGAGGCCAAGGCGGGAGGACTGCTTGAGCCCAAGAGTTCGAGATCAGCCTGGGCAAGATAAGACCCCCGTCTCTACAAATAATTTACAAATTAGCGAGGCACGGTGGTGGTGTGCCTGTAGTTCCGGCTACTCAGGAGGCTGAGGCAGGAGGATCCCTTGAGCCCAGGAATTCAAGGAAGCAATGAGCTATGTATGATTGCACCACTGTGCTCCAGCCTGGGTGATAGAGTAAGACCTCATCTCTAAATAAATAAATAAAAGCACACTGCACCCTATGGCTTATAACACATTTGTATCTGTATTGATTCCTTTGATCACCCCGATATCCCTGGGAGGTAGGACTTCTTATTTATCCCTCTTTTACAGGTAATGAAACTGTGGCTTAGAGGAGGAAATGACTTACCCAAAGTCCACAGCTAGCCAGGGATAGAGTGACGGTTTGCACCTGAAATCCTTAGATTCCCAGGCCTTTCTGCTACGCCACCTCTGCTCTTTGTGGAGATTGTAAGGCAACAGAAAGAGCACTGGAGCCCTAACTGTTGTTCCAGCTCTGCAGAGAACATGCTACGTAACCCCAGACAGATCTCCTGCCCTTTCTGGGCCACACCACTATCCATCTAGTGTGGTTGTTTGGATTAAATCATGATCTTAAACGTATCCAGCACAGTCTCAGACATGTCACAGTGGCCAAGATGATCACAAGAAGGGGAAGAGAACAGTGAAAATGATGGTGCTTACATACAAAGGGCATGGCAATATCACAGACGGAGAGGCCAAGTTCACCAGAGAGAGAGCTCCCCGGGGGGCGAGGACACTGAACAGACTTGAATGGAGAAGGTCCACCTCCCTTCCCTTCTTTCCAGGTGACTAGGGGACTAGAGCTTGAGACGTGTGCGAGGGGGTGGCCAGAACTGATGCTGGAGAGTGAAAGTGAGGTGGGGGCATATCACACAGGCCTTGAATGCTACGCCAAGCAGTTTGGCTTTTGCTATTGAAAGGTTTTAAGCAGGCAAGTGTCATGATCCATTTTGCAGATCTGCAGTTTAGAAAGGGCACTCTTGCTGGAATGTGGACAGTAGAAAGGAGAGGAGAGTCTAGAGGCACAGAGATTCTCAACTGGAGGCACAGTTATGAGGGGAGGTGGGTAAAGTTCATGGAGATCCATCAGCTGAAGCCCCTCAAGGCCACCTCTCCCTAAGGGGAGATCAAAGGAAATGATGAATGTGGAACTGCTCAGAAACTGCTGCCAGCTACCAGCCAAAGTGTGAAGGGTTGTTGATCACTTTTGTGTTAAACGTGAGGTCTGGAGCCTCCAGCCCAGCTGGCTAGACCCTGCACACACAATGCAGTGGGGGTTAGCTTCCCTGAGTTCCCGGGCAGTTGGGTCTTTTCATCTCCAGTTCTCAGATGCTGAACTTGAGACTCACTAAACAATTCCACATGGAGTAGAGGATGGAAATCGTCAGTCCAGGGCAAGGGGAGGGGGGTGCCATTCCTTCCAAAGAATGTCCCTATGGGAGGGGAGGAAGCAGCAGGAATATAAGCCAGACAAGCCAGGGAGTACGGAGGCCATTCCCAGGCACGCTGTCCTCCCAAGCCTGCTGGGCTTTCCAACCTCTACCCCAGTTCCTGACGGAAGACATTTAGCAACCACACAAAGGAGCTTCCTGTGAGCCAGACTAATGCTTTACCTAAATTACCTTGTTTATTCCTCAGAATAGCCTCTTCTACAGTTGCAGAAACTGAGTCTCAGAGAGGTTAGGTAACTTGCCTAAAGTTACCCAGAACTGGTAAGTGGCAGGGCTGGAAACTGAATCCTGACCAAGCTTGGCCTTCACCCGATGCTTCCATCCAGGTCTCTCTCCCATCTAGGCAGGGAGCCTTTAGAGAGAGGAGGAATGGGAAGGTGAGAAATGGGAGGGGCCTGACTCCTCTCTATGGGTCCCAGGGGTTGTGGAGTTGAATCCTTGCAGCCCTTTTAAGCCCAACAGTGAGGAAGACACTGGACACCAAAGGGCCCATGGTGCCATCCCAAAGACTCATGAGGAGTGTGAGCTGGATGATCACAGAAGGCCTCCTAGTTCTGAAAGCTGGGATTCTAATCAGGTGAGGACGATGAATGGAAAGGAGAGAGGGGAGCTCTCCCTGCTTCCACACATATGAGACCAGGCTCCCAGCCTTTTCTCTGCACGTCCCTAACTGGCAGGGTCCACAGGTCTCAAACCAAGTGCATCCCCAAGACCACACAATGGCTCTGAGTGCATGGAGGACCTGTAAGACCAGTTTGTTTTCTGGGCAGCAGATGATTTTGCTGGCCTGAGGCCTAGGGTAGTGGCCTCTACTCCTACCTCACCATCTCTCTAGTGTCTTCCTTCTTCCCAAAGTAGACCGGCATGCGTGCACACACCCAGGCCCAAGCAACTCCTTTTTTTTTTTTTTAATTTTAAATTTACTTAATAAGAAAAAGTAGTAAGGAAAGAAGCAGCAAACAGACTGGGTGTGTTAACGAGTCTGGGCCACTGCAGGGGGGACGTTGTCCAATTTCTGCACCCCGAGGCCCTCCAAAGTCTGGGAGAAGCTCCTGGGAGGTCCAGGGCCCAAGACCAAAGCCTCTATCAACTCCCCCACCTGTGAACTGCCCCTCTCCCAAGGTAGGCATTGTCTGGGTGTGTACACTGGAAGCCACCCACACACCCAACTCTCCCCTCCTAGGGAATGCGTCCACCAGGTCATTTCTCCTGCAAACCCTCATTTTAAAGTGTCTTGGATGCTTTCCTGCCCCTCACCCTTGCCTTTTTTTTTTTTTTTTAGCATAAAGAAGGGTGAGAGCCCAAGAGCTGCAGCAGGGGGAATAGATTGAAACTGCTGCCTACTCATACGCCAGTTTCCCTTCTTAGAACTCTAACCAGAAGCCAATGGTTTCCTCCATAAAAGAAAAACTCAATCTGTTGACTTTCTCTCTCCTCTCCTGCCAGCTTTTCTGCCCGAGCCGGGCTCTCTCTTCTCTGTGGGTTCGTCTTTCAGCCAGTCTTTCTCTTGCTTCAGATTCTTGGTTTCTGGCTCCCTGTCGTCCCTGAACCTCTTTCACTCTTTAAAAAAAAAAACGGGGAGGGCGGTGAACAAGCAAAGAGGAAGCCCTCACCCACCCACCCCATCTCTTCCTTACTAGCAACTAATTCCCTCTCTCTACACACACACACACACACACACACACACACACACACACACAGAGGCACGTACTCCGGCGACCTCCAGATGTTCCCGACAGTGAGGCCATCTGCTTAGATTGCTGGGGCGCGCAGGGGGAGGGGGCAGGGATCCGGGATGCAGGAAGCTGTGAGCGAAGCCTACTGGAGGGGGCAGGAGCTGCGCACTTTTGAGACGCTCCCTAGAGTGGAACCCGGGCTCGGCTCGGGCTCCGCGGGCGGGGCGCGCGCCGGGAGAGGCTGGCACTTTGGCGACACTCCCTGAGCCGCCCCGCGGCTGGCCCGAGCAGCCACCCGGCGCCCGGCAGGGGGGAGCCCGGCTGCGGGCGGGGACCGGGGGGCGGGCCGCGCCGCCGGGAGAAAAGCGCCGGCCGGAGGGCCCGCGGCCGGGCCGCCGGGGTGAGCGTGCCGAGGCGGCTGCGGCGCAGGCTTCCAGGTGGGTGCGGGTCCCCGGACGGGGCGAGAGTTCGCGCTGCGGGTGAAGATCCCGAGTTCCCGACCTCAGCCTCGCGGCCCCTTCGGCGGGCGGGTAGGGGACGCCAGTCGCAGGGGCGGGGCTGGGTCCCGCCAAGGCCCCTCAACTTTAGCCGGACGCCTGGGGCTGGGCGGGAGTGGGGAACGCTAACCCAGGGGAAAGGGCTTGCGGGAGACAAAGGCTCCGCCCGGGGGCCGTGTGGGTCTTTGTGCGGACACGTGCATCTCATGTTTGTGGGTCTTTGTGGATTTGCAGTCGGGGACGCGCCGCTGCTGGTGCCTTTGTGTATCCGTGGCTTTGCGCGGCTGCTTTGCGCCGGTGTCCACGTTTGCGGGCCTGCGCTTGGCTGTGGGCGTCTGTGGGCGCATCGCGTGTGTCCGCATACGTGGTAGGTGCCTGCCGACGTGTCTGGGCTGGGTGTCCACAGAGGGTGTGCGCGCCGAGAGCCCAACTCCGCCCCACCTCCCCGCTCCCCCGCTGTCCACTCGGGCCCACGACTTGGCTCCAAACTTTTCTCCCGGTTCCTCGGCAACAGCCCCAGTCCTCCCCACCGCAGCCCGGCCGGGGGCGCCGGCAGCCCTCCCCCTCTCCCTCCTGAGGTCCCAGGACCGCAAGGGGCTGCGATGGGATTGGTGGTCGGGGGGATCCGCAGCGCCTGGGGACTGGCCGGGCAGGGGCTGGGAGGAGCGTGCGGATTCCCCTGCAGACCCCGGCTGGGAGGAGTAGGCGAGAGGTGGGTCCCGGGCTCCGGTCCTGGGCTGGGGAGAGGAAGGGACAGGGCGCTGGCGTTGCCCTCCCCGCGCTTCTTGGAAAGCGTGTGACCCAGAGAGTTGTGTCTGTTTGGTGGGGAGACAGGCTCCGCTTTGAGACCCGCTCTCCGTTTGCAGCCCGCCCCCGGGGGAGGGGGACCAACCCTCCGACCTGATAGGGAGCGAGCGACTGCCAGTTCAGATCATGCCCGAGGGGCCGCCTCGCAGGACCCGGAGCTGGGCTGGGGGCCGTGGGAGCCTCACACACACAGGTTTCAACTGGGACGGCCACTGGCCCACTGTGCGGCGCTGGCAAGTTGCTCAGCTTCGCGGAGTCGCGGTCACTCTGGCACGGACAGGGCGAGAACTCCCTCGAGGCTCAGGGCGTGCGGTGGGAATAACCCGCGCTGCTGGAGCCGGGCGGAGAGCAGCGCCAGCCCACATTTGGCCTGGCGAGGAAGTGACTCAAGACCTTCGATCCTTCTTTCATCGTTGTGCGCCCTGCCCTCCGGATAAGTCTAGACTTGCAGCGCCTGGGACTGACCAGAGAGGGAGGGCTCAGAGTGGCAGGAGGCTGCTGGGCTTTTGAGCCTAAGTCGCAAAGATAACCCTGAACACCCTCCTCCCCACCGCTCACTCCAGTCTTTAACCTAGAGCTTTGTCGGATGCTGCAGACATGATGGAAGGGCACAGCCGCTAACCTGGGAAAGAGACAACTGTGGGCATTTTCCTTTCCCTCTCCGGCCTCAGTTTCCCTTCTGTAAGGGGAGGTATTGAGAGCCTCTTCTGTTCTGGCTGACTGCTTCAGATCCCAGAACCTAGAAACACTTTGATGTTTAACCTACACCTCCATTCTGACCTGACCTATTCCCAGGCACTACTTTGCTCCCCAGGAAGGCTGCAATGCTACAGCCACCGGGCTTCCACCTACCCTTCCTCCAACACCAGGAAAGGCAAAAGCTGATAAATGAGTCCAACATGGAAAGGGAAGGGATGGGGATTGACCTTTTCTCCTCTTACTTTTTAAATGACAGTTTGTGGGTGGTAGAGTCCAGATCAATTTTCTTCTTAATCATACCTCCTGGGTCAACACAGGGGATGCACTTAAGAGTTCATGCTTCCTTTTTCAGAGCAAGGCTGGCCTGGGCACTGAGGACACTTCATAAAGAGGGTTGGGTCCTCCCTGAAAGCCCCCTGGCCCAAGCAAGTCCTAAGAGGGGTTCTGTGGGAATAGCCCAGGGGAGGGGCCTCACGGGAGGTTTCTCCTGCTGTGGGTTTTGAAGTCAGTGGGTACACAGAGGGGAGGCAGGAAGTATCTCCCACAAAAGGATCAACATGTGCAGGACCTGTGCATGAAAACAGCACAGGTGGTCCGCATGGTGGATCGGCAGATGCAAGGTCTTGAGGGTGGTGAATTGGAATTGAACTTGAGGCTGGGAAGGCAGGGACCAAATCACCAAGGCCTTGAATGCCAGGCCGAGAAGTGGGATTTGACCCTGTAGGCAATGGAGAGCTCCTGGAGGATTTAAACAGATACAGCAGGGTGGGGTTGGTAATTCTGTGAAACCGGTCTCTGGCTTGTGGGTGGTGCTGGAGGTCAGGAGACCAATCTGGAGGCCGAGTGATCCAGCCTCTTAGAGTCAAAGGACCCAGATTTTACTCCCACCCCATTGCTTCCTACCTCTGTGGCCTGGGACAAGTAACTTATTTAAAATGTGAGGATATTAATTCTTCCTCCACTGATCTGGTGTATTAAATAAGATGATGAATTACATGTGCAAATAAATGAAAAGTGGTTTGTAGTATGTATTACATTGTGTAGACAGAAATTCATTGGATTGCACCGACAATAGAAGGCAGAGACAGTTTTGATTCTGGTCCTAAACCTGATTTCACCAGTGGGCAGAGCCCTAAGCATCCTGCAGGGTTGCACCAATTGTTATGTTCACCACAAAGCAGAAGGGAGCTTTCTGTTCATCTACACCGATTCGTAGATGGCCACAGAAGTGGGCCAGTACCTTGACAGGGGCAGCCCAAGGGCCATGGGAGCTCACAGCATGGGTGGCCTTTCCTGGGTGAGGGGCAGGTTAGACTGGGAAAGCCTCACAGAGGAGGTGGCTTCTTGAATCAAATGTATGAGAATCTGCTGGTAGACAAAGAAGGGTATCATTGTCTTCATCAGAGGGAACAACGTGTGCAAAAAGGCAGGTGGCTCTAGAAGAGTCACAGGCCTCTAGACTAGAAAACTGTCTCTGTGGGATGGGTTTGAAAGAGGGAGCTGTCGTAGGGTCCCAGTCTTCTGTTGGGAAGTGCATTCTGGTGCCCAGCATGGCTGGCAGTTGAAGTCAGGGGCCAGGAGTGAGGCTGTTGCAGCAGGTCTCCTGAGCCTGACCTGGACAGTGGGAGGTGACTGTCCAGCTTAGGGATGTGGGAGAGGGAAGACAGTGATTCCACCTACCCAGGGAGAGCTGCGGATTTGATGCTGAGCCCTCATTCTGTCACAGGCAACACAGCAGCTTTTGCCTGCTTTGGCCTCTGAGACCTTTCCAGTTCGCCCTTCCCAGTCTCCTGGGAGTGCCTTGTCAGCACCTCGTAGCCACACCGGGATCCTGGATGGTATGTGGAGAGAAGATCCAAGGCCTCTGGGATGAATTGTGGATTCTTCTCCATCTTCAGCCCCTGCCCTTGCCTCAGGATTTGCTGGTGTCACAGCACCTTTTTCTTCCCTGGTCCCTGAAATCACTCACTGGGGACAGGAACCAACATTCAGTGAATACCAATGTGTGCCAGGCCAGGTCTGAGTCTTCACTTTGCCTCATGTAATCATCACAGTGACCCATTGGGACCAGCATGGGGAATATCACCATGTTACGGATGAGGACTCAGAGGGGTGAGGGCACGAACAAGCCTCAGAGCAGTGAACGCCCTGTAGGGTTGGAACCCAGACTGCCTGGCTACAGAACCCTTGCCCTCTGCCCCATAGCGCCTCCTCATGTGTCCATGTACGCTGCCTCAAGTTGATGGGAACTTGAAAATCTTCAGGAAGAAGACATATTGGAAGGAAAACATCCTATTGGGAGCCTTGCCCATCTCCCTGTAGATTATCCTCCTTGGGTAAATTGTTAGGCTTACAGGTCCCTGGGATCATGTCATGGAGGAGACCAGGTACTGGATGTCAGAATATCTGGGTCCTGGTCCAGCCCCATCCTCTCTGGCTGTGTGACTCTGGACAGATCACAGAATCTCTCTGGGCTTCTTTACGCAGCTGTAAAGTAGATACGATGCCATCTAACCTGCTGATTCTGCAGGGTGACTGAACAGATTGTAGTTGAGGAAGCATGGGAGAGGTTGAGAGGTGTCCTTTGGTGAGGTAGCGGTATTCTAGATGCTTGGTGCATCTTCACATGGTGTCTGCTCTGTACCAGGCTCGGTGCTCAGCTTCAAGGGCATAAAAAGGAACCTAATGCCATCCCTGCCCACAGTAGGATAGACAGGTAAACATGTAAGTACAGTTCAGCATGACCAGGTCTAAGCTGTCTTGCACATGTGCTCATTTGGAAGCTGAGGCAGAGTGGATTTGGAGCTAAGACATCTGGGGTTAAGTCCTGGGTCCTCTCCTTCTCAGCTGAATAACATCCATTTCCATGTCTGCAAAATAGGGACAGTAACCCCAGGGTCAAGGCTGTGGTGAGGCAGAAGTGAGATGCTGATGGAGAGCACATGGTGGGCTGCTGTGTTTGTCCAGATGTGCTGCATTAGCGGGTCTGTTGCAAGAGCTGGCCCTCGGGGCTCCGGGAGTCTGGCCTTGAAATTCTTTCTGCCTTGCATTTCCAGAGCTGACAAAGTGGTTGGAGGGCAGGACGTTTCTGAAAACCGTCCACCTGGGGATTTCTTTGGCATCAGCTTGAGTGAGCTCATGACTGAGGGGAGCAGGGTGGGAGGCAGCTCTGCATTGAGGAACAGCCAGTCGAGACAAAGGCCGGTCTCAGGAGGGTGCTGGGGCTCTGTGCCAGTGCGGCCCTGTGCCAACAGTGCCCTGTGGAAGTTGTCGAGGGCAGTGGGAGGAACTGGAAAACTTTACAGACCAGAGATGCTGTAGTGCAGCACCAGGGTCAGGCAGCTGGGGCCAAGTGGGTTCAAGCTGGAACCCAACACCCAGAGAGCTGTCCTTATCAGCAGACACCAGGGAAGTGACTGGAGAATGTCATCACA